CACTGGACAAACTAGTGTTTGTGCACTTTCTGCTTTGTTTTCTCAGTTAGGGACATGTAAAAAGAGCCTGTAAAAAATTCTGCAGTTACAGAATTGCCCTGGCATCGGGACAGTCAGCAAGAAGGCATCATCTAATAAAACACTGGGGATGAGTAAAGGATGAGCCAGAGGAGAAAAGGATCAGGAGGGCTGTCACCATGATCCACCTCCAAACTCTTGTTTTTGCAGAATCTGTCAGGGTTCTGGAGAAAAACTTGCTGAAGTGGAGCCCTTTGCTTCCTCTGCTCATCTCCAGCCTCAACGTGCTGGCTTGTTGCATTTTACCCCAATAGAACACAGGCTTGGTGAGCATGAGGTTGAGTATGAAAAGACTTAGGGAATCTTTTCAAGCTGCTAAATTTTCCATGGCAGGAATTCAGGTTTGCAAGTCACTTAAACACTTTCAATTTGGAATTCTGTTTGAATTCTAGTGTCAGTCTTAACACCAAATAAACATTATTAGGAAAGGCTGGCTGTGTATCTGTTTCAAACTTTACCCCCAAATAAGCAACATTAGTATTTTATGAAGATTAGAAAAAATAAAATGCTTCTGGAAATACTACTGCGTTGTAAGCGATTATTGGTAGCACTGTTTTATCTCTGTACCTTTTCTCCTATGTAACAATAGAAAATGTGATTGCTTGATTTTCCATTAACTTTATCGCCTTCATATTTAGGTGTTTGTATAAAATGAGTTTTATTGATATGGCAATTGCCCAGTGTATCTAAAAAAATCTAGTTTATAATAGTTTTAATGCAAATTTTGGACATTTAATTAACTATGTATGAACCGTTTCTTTTCATTTTATAGACAAGGTCATTTTCAGTTAATCAAAATGATATGATGCTTCTAAATATTATATACTAATTTGTCCCTGAACAAACTGCAAGATAATGTAAAAGATTAAAAAATCCCATGATGCCACAGAGGCCTTTTGCAGGCAATGCCACTGGATCCCACAGCTCCAGAAATTCTCTCTGGTAGCACTCCTATTTGGAGTCTACAGTGGAAGAAGCTGCAGCAAGGAAACTGCAGATGTGCACTACTTAGGCTGGACTAATCATCTTAATGACACATGAAGAATAAAGTACCATTGCAGTTCTTGCCTTTCCCCATATTTACACTTACCCTAAAGCTGTTTCCCCAAGATAATTTTTGTTCTGAAGAACTTTTCACGAAGGAAACCTCAGGCAATTTATGAATTTATGCATTAAGGTATGAATCTATTCACCTATTTTCATTAGGGCATCCAGACATTCTTCTTTTGAACTTTCAACAGGACACAATTGAGCCTAACTAATCCTCAGAACATAATTTAAGTTGCTGTTGGAAAAGGGCATAGCAACAGCTGATGTGCATTTTGTAGTAATGAAGATATGTACTTCCAAAGAAACATCTAACAAAAAACCACTTATCCATCATTGCTATAGAAATTTTAGCCTTTTCATCATCAATATTAACTTCAATGTTCACCTAAATTTTCTCTATAAATCATTTAACACAAAGGGATAGGAAAGAAAAATAAAAAACCCTAGCCATCGTGGTTTGCCTTGTTTCCAAGTATTAGTAATCTATATCAGGATGCTTGATCACTCTGCTGTCTTTCTGAGAAGGAAACTGAATTATAGTGTAACAGAGAGCCTGTGCTCAATCTTCAGGCAACCCTGTTAGTGCTTAGTTCTGAATACTGAACTCTTAATGCATCCCTCTATATGGAAACAGACTTTGAGCTCTAAGAAAGAATCTCTCATTGGGATGGCTAATGAAGCAGAACTACTTTTTTTTTTAGTCACCAAAATTCAGATCTCACACATTAGGCACAAATTTAGAATGAAAAGTCATTGGAAATGAGATGTGTATAATGTATGTGGACTTTTTGCTGTTTCTGAAATGGAAATTTCTTTTGTCTGAATCAAGACACGGAATTTAGTTAGGAATAATTAAGACATTTTGGACTAATCCTTTGTATTTAAAAATATCTAGCTGCTCATGCATTCTCTCTAAGGGCGCATGCATAGAGCACAGTTGTCCTAGATTAGATCTGCAATGATCTAAAGCAATTTTTTGCACAAATTGGAGTTCTAAAGCTTTATCAGATTTCACAAACGCAGCTTGCATGCACAGTCTACTCATACTGGTCATTTGTTTGGAATTACAATATTTAGAATATGAAAAGATCATTCACCATTCATAAAATACATTATTCCTGAGGACAGTGTGTGCCTTATACTTTAGTAAAATAACGTGCAGTCAATGCAAACAGCATACTAAATGAAGTCTAGCAAAAAGTTTTCTCAGCTTAAGCAAATGGCTAGATAGTGGCAAAACCTTTAGACATTGTTGTCCTCCAAAAATAAAGGAACACACACAGTGTTTCTCCAGAACTTCTTGTGCTTTTCCAGTGTGCAAAATGCACAATGTCAGATCTACATACTTGCCTTTGATATTCTCCTATACACCAGTGTTGAAAATTATTAATATATTCAAATTTCACATACAAAAAGGTTTTCTTTCCTATATGTTTTTAAGTCCAATTGGAATTTGCCTAAGTATGTATTGACACGTGCTAATATCCACAGTAGAAACAGGAAAGTATAAAATAATCACTATTTCTGATTTTTGCCTAATTTTATCCTTTATCTTCATACCTTGGGCCAGCCAAGGCATTTTCTTTTTAGAGAAAACATTAAAAAAAAGAGCTCATCTGTGACCTTCTGAAGAACTGAAGTCCTGTCACTACGTGGCACAGAAACAGAAGCTGTGACACATGGTTAATGCTGTCAAATGGTGCTTGATAATCCACAGAATGAAACAGAGACTGAATTAAATCAAACAGCGTGATTCTATAAGCACTGAGGAAAGTGCATTAATTACTTCTGATAAAGACTCCTGAGCAACTTAACGCACAACCCAGAATATGAAGGAACAAAACAGCCCTTCCAAAATATGGGAAACTGAGTTCCACCAGCCCCTTATGACAGAACTAATGGGTAATATATTTGATTAAACCATATTTTCCAATTTCTTTTATCCTTTATGCAATACTGTACTCTAGAGTTGCCTTGTCTGGTCACAGAGAGCTGGAATTAACCAAGAAATCTCATTAATATGGTGAAACGACTAAAAACTTAAGGTCTGATTCTAGGCCCCCTGGATACAATAGATCCTACTCATCCACTTTGATGGGCTCTTGAATCTTAAAATTAATTTTATATGGCATAATAAAATGAAATCATTGTGCTAATACATGCAAGTGAATAATGGAATCACACTTTTTGGTTCAATAGGGTATTCTAAGTAGTAAAAATTCAGGTCTTTTCGTATCTGTCAGGAGTGATTTTGCTGCAGGTTTATCCTTAAATATGATGTTAAAATTTATAGCCTTTATAGTTACTGTGCTTTTTTGACTTTTCATTTTTCTAATTTTTATCATCCAATATAGAGAAGCATTATTTAAAATTGTACAAGAGAAACAGAATGATTGTAAATGTTTTTTCACTCCCTTCTCTGCAAGTAAATCCTGCACACTTGTTTAAATTATTGAAATTAAGTTCTTATTTTTTCCCACATTATGAAATGTTAGTAATAGACAATTTCATCACCAAAATGTGACTATAACCAGAAGCAACACTGCTGTATGCACATAAAAACTGAAATTTGATTCTTTACATGAACATCTACCTTTTATATTGATTTTATCCAAAAAGCCCCCCAAAACGGTAAGAAGGCATACAAATAATTAATAATAATAATAATAAAAAATCTAAAAGTAACCACTGTGTGTGTGTGCATTTATATACAATCTGTATACATATCTGCCTGTATCTAACTCCCATGCTTTGACTTATTTAGGCCAATAAAAGAAGTGCACATTACTGGAACATTTACTATTACAATAAGAAGAGCATTGTTATAAAGTGCTCTGCTTCTCCTTCCCTGAACAAGCAAGTCACAATGTTATACTGGATGTCTGATATATATCTGCATAAGCTTGCATACTATAAAGAGTTAATTGTATATTCAGGACGAAGTCATTTGCACTGTATGAGAATATTTCAAGTTAGCATTCTATGAAGTCATGGAATCATCACCCAGACAGGTCAAAGGGAACAGTAACACAGTTAGACACCTGCATGCTACATCAGAGCATGAAAATGACAGTTCTTCCATCCTCCTGGAAGCATGTGGAGGTTGTCTTTCTGCATATGGAAGTGGAAAGACAACTCAACAGCCACGTCATTTTCAAATACAGCTGCAATGTGGGCAATGCGATGTGTTCTCTTAGTGCTGCTGTTTTATCTTTGAATTTAGAATTTTTGGTTTTCAACTAGAAGGATAAATTAATGACACTAATGTGCAAATCTTAAACTGCATAGTATATATTAAGCAGCCATAGATCCCTTTTTTAGGGTAGGACCACATCCACAATCTCAACAAGAGACTAGGACAAACCTGACAAAACAGTAAGCCTGAAAGATCATTTATATCAAGTTATGGCCACAAAGGCAACAATTGCTCTTTTCTTCAGAGGCATTACAGATGGAGCTGAGCAATCAGAAGCTGTAGTAGTGGTGGATATAATGTAAGTTGTATTTAGTCATGCCCATACTGTATAAGTTCATAGGTAATTTTTAATTTCCATTATGCTGTTAGTATCTTCCTGAACCGCAGGAATATTCATTGCCTTTTTTTTAAACCAGAGTGTCCAAATTTTTAATCTGTCTGCATATTCCTGAGTGGCAATTCTCCTTGGTGCTCACCACAGACCAGTTAGAGGTAAGGCTCTTCATTTTCTTAATCGGAAGCATCTATTTTCCAGTTCCCACCAAAGTTTGCATCTGTACTGCCCAGCAAGAACATACGTACACCGTGAATCTCACAGACTGATGCCAGACTCTGACTTCATTTTCTAACTGCACTCCTCAATTTCCATAGTGTTTTTGCTGCAGCACAGTAGTGACTAAGGCCATTCATGGTGATACTGTTTCCCATTCTTTTTTCTTTCCTTCTGCAAATGCTCCAGTTCAGCCTCATACATCATTTCCTGGACTAAGTATTTCTCTCTCCTCATTCTGTCACACAAGTCTTTGGGCATGTCTGGAATCAGGTAGGCAATGAAAGACTTTATTCCAAAAACAAGGTGCTGAAAAGAAGAACAAAAATAATTGCTTCAAAGATGCATAAATATTCATTTCTAAGACCACATTTTAGGGCCTAAAAGTCTAAGGCAAAACTGGAACTGAGATTAAATTCATGACTGAAAAGTAACTCCTTTGTTTTTTTAATATATAAACATACACATATGGGAATAAATGAGCGGTCTGTCAGAAATGTGAAAGTGCTGAAGTCTTCTGAAAAGAAAAACAAAGGGTGTAGATAGTGACCTAAATTAAGATGTGACTGCAGGATATGCTAGTTTGCATAACAATAGCAAACACTACCTACAAGCAGTCTTTGTTAAGAGCTTGCAATTGAAGTAAGTAACCAGGTTCCTGGACAGTATGCAATATGTTCTTCAATGTTAGTACACACATTTCTTCTTTTATGTTAGGCTAGAATAATGAATCATTTTCCTTCAACACATTTTAATAACTGTTCTTAATGTACACATAAGTTGCACCACTTCTTTTTCAATAAAATGATGGGTAAGAAAATATGGTTTTGGAGGGACTCTAAAATCTGTGCATGCTCTGTCCATTCTGTTTGAAGTAGCTGATTAATAACAGTTTGGGGAGAATGATTTTTTTTTTTGACTCTAAAATCTGTGCATGCTCTGTCCATTCCGTTTGAAGTAGCTAATTAATAGTTTGTTTTTTTTTTCCCCTCTCTCTCTCTTGACTCTAATGTACAAGCAGTTGATGATACTGACAATTTCCATATGGGATTACTATAAAAAATCAACTCCAACTTTAAAGAGGTAGAATGGAATTGTTCCTTTCCATGACTAACCTCAAATACTATGATGAAGGCCAGCCGTGCTGCCAGGACATGCCAGAATTGCAAAGTGAATTCATACGGAGTTGAACTCCATGGTGGGGCTCTGTAATCTCTATACCTGTAAAGCAGAGAAAAACCCATTAAGTTAGGTTGTGCTCAAAAACCTGAACACGGTGAAGAGCTCTCTAGCTTATCCTAGATCTGGCTAAAAGGAGAGGAACTGAAGTAAAAGCATACTTCAAGAGGAATTATCAGAAAAGGAGAAAAATAGTGCACAATACAGGCAATAGGACTGCTTATAAGATGGCACTTTTTACTTCCAAAAATCCAAAACTATTTCTTTTGTGGTTATAAAGCTGACACTTTGGAGTGTTAAGTTCAAATGTGTTGACTCTAAATTGGTTTTTGTCTTTGCTTATAAGCATTTGAGATTCTCCAGACAAAGTCTGCACAAATGTAACATAATTCTGTAACTTAGTCAATTCAAGCTAACTCTCACTGTAAAACTAAATCTGAAACCAGAAACGCAGTCATGCAATGTCATATTTAATTTTTATGCTGAATTTCTTGTATTCATCTTGCAGAACTGTATGGGATCTTGACCTTAGAACCACAATCATAGAATGGTTTGGGTTGGAAGGGACCTTAAAGCACCTCTAGTTCCAAACCCCCTGCCACCAGAAGGGACACCTTCCACCAGACCAGGTTGCTCAAAGCCTCATCCAACCTGACCTTGAACACTTCCAGGGAGGAGCATCCACAACTTCTCTGGGCAAACTGGGCAAGTGTCTCATCACCCTCACAGTAAAATAAAAATTTCAGTTGTGTATTTTAATTAACAGACCTCAGAATGCTTCACAAAACTGAAATGGGAAATTTTACCCTTCTTGGCAGCTGGGGAAACTTTGAAATGAAATATTTCACAGAGGCATGAAAGATACGGCTTGCAAGAGAACTGGAAAAGTCAGAACACAGGTTTCCAGTGTGTTAGTATTGTGTCCTACCACATGACGTTTACACCTGAGACTTCCATGTTTGACAGACTTGAATGTCAATGCTTTTAGAGACAAAAAAGAAACTCTGTCAGTAATTTAAGCACTGACTTTCAATTTAATGCCTGTATTAACATCTATGCCTGTATTAAAAGAAGGGAGAGCATCAAAACATACCGGCAGTATCCTGAGTATCCCATTCCAAGTTCACTCAAATCAAATACTGATAAACTGCTGTTGACATATCCCTTTAAGCACCTGAAAAGACAAGACATATGGTCAGGACTTTCCCCATAAAGCAGTTATACAGCATAAATCCTGTGTGTAAACATATCCTGCTATCACATATTGTGAGCATACTATTTTATTTGTTTATCAGGACAAAAGCAATTATAAAATTTTAAGCAGAGAAACAAAGTTTTATTGGAAAGAATCAAATAACATCTGTTTCAGGGATAACACTGTTTAAAAATTTATTTTCAGTACTTTTGATGTTTTTGCTTCTTTTCTGCCAGCAGATATAAACCAAAAATTGATGCTACAGTGTTCTTCACTGTCTTCTAAAATGACTGAAATTAGAAAGATGGCTAGAGAGGCAGAAAGAATAATTTAACATCCGTGCAGAATCTGCCACCACTCATGCAACATATACAAAAAAATGACAGGTTTTATGAGCTGATCAAAGAAGAATTTTCAGCAATAGTAAAATGAACGGTGCATATATACCAAACAGCCATCTTTAAGGCAACCGTTTATTAGTATTAATGACAGAAATCACATAAATACATTGAATTGTGACTGGAGTGAAATTGTCTGTTCCTGGAAAAGCACAGACACGTAAGACATGCTGTCTTCTTAGAAATCTGTCTTGTAATTTAACAAAGGGCCTTCTGAAAGGCAAAGGACATTTAAAAAGAGATGCATCAGGAATCCCATTATACCTCCTGAGCCTTCAGGTTTGCTGTGACAAACCCAATCACTACTGGTAAAAGAAGAAATAGAATTACATAGTTCTCTATTTAATGTGCACATGAAGCACTAATGTTTTTCCACTGTTGTCTCTCTTCATCCTATCCTGCCTCATTCTTTTTGCCTTAAATTCTCTCTTCCTGTCACAGCATAGGAAGAATATATCTCTATTTTCAATCATTAGAGATGGAGCAATGAGGGAAGAAAGGATGGACCCCTGTGGTTTGGGCTGAGGCACAGTCTGTGAATGTAGTGATCCTGGCTTCCTGGATAAGCTTTGTTGCTTTCACTCTTATCCTTCCTCCTGTGCAATAAAGAACATAAGTTGAGCTTGTGAGATGTGCTATAGTATTAGAAAAGTGATGCTCCCTTTTCTCAAGGTAACTCCGATTCTCATATCAAAATGAAAAAAAAACCAACCCTGCAAAAAACCCCCTCAAAACCACCCCCAAAACACCTGTAAGGGCACTGGTCTCCAAATGAAAAAGACACCCATCAGTACTGTGATCTGTTTAGACCGTGTAAAAGGTCATGATAGACAGTGGGAAATGCAGACAGAACGTGGTGGAACCCACAATTCAGAGACATTGGTAAGTGTCTGGAGAAAAGGGCAGGAAACCGGCCTGGTGGTGCAAAGACAGGCAAGATATTTTGCTTGAAGCTAAGATACACAATATATATGGAATTCAGTTAAATAGTGTCAAGGCCAGTCTTGCTGGAGCTGGGCTGCAAGCACTTCTGAAGAGAAACAGGCAGAGTTTAAGAGTGAATGAGGCTTATTATAAAAGAGAGCTCGGGAGCATGTGTGGAAGTGTAGTGGGAGAAGACAGCTCAGAACTATTGCAGAGAGAAGAAAAGCTCATTTAGGAAAAGTCTGAAAACTGCTATGATGTATACTGAACATGGAAGACGTGACTTGCCACTTCTATAACGATGGAGCTTGTTAGCAAACTCTGGAATGGCGGAGATACTTGCACTAAACATCTGTGAAGGTTTGCACAGATGTACAAGGTAAAATGTTACTGATCTACATTAAGTATGTTAACACAGAAAGACAGGAACAAAAGTGAGCTGAAATATACATGTATATATAAATATCTTAATTACTTTTCTTGTCTGTACCCTTGATCTGTACAGGGACCATATTTGTATGCATAGACAAAACGTGGAATGTAATCAGAAGTAATGGCAATAACAAAGGCGTTGGTGATGACAGCCAGAACTCCAATTCCTTCCAGAATCCCATACCAGATACCTAGGAACAACAGAAATGACAACAAAGTCATTAGTTTTTAACAGTCATATTAAGTCATAGGAAGTCATACTAGTGATGTTAAAGTCATTATTAGGAATACAGTTTTCCTTTTTTTTTTGAGAAAGAATTATTCATTTGGAAAGCCAGTCAAAATTAAGACATATCCCCACATTCCTGCCACCATTGGCTCCACTTGAATGAAGTCTTATAGTAGGGCACACCCTGCTGAGAAGAAATAGCTAAGCAACAAAGGTATAGCCATAACCTTTTGTTATAGAGGCTAAATAGAAGATTTTAGAAAGAGATTTCTTATTTTTATTTAATTCAGTTTTAAACCAGAAGTGAATTTAGTCCTTATATTTAATTTTTAAATTCAATTGATTTTGGATAGAATTTTAGATCTAGAGTTCCAAAAATCAGAATGTTTTCAAATTTCTAACTATTATGATCCCTTATTGGAAATGGAAAACAAATTTGAGGAGTTCTCTTAGCTAAGCTAAGAGTTAACCGAGTTCCCTTTTGTTGCTTAACAGGAGAGTTGTCATTGACATGTGTAGGTTACGTTATCAGTTTCACTCTTGACACATGAAATATTTCAAGGGTTAAGCTGCATTAAAGAAGGAAACAAACAGATGGTACCTGACAGTGACAGTCATTAGGTTCTCTCACCTATATCTGTTGCTCTTGCAGGCATAGGTCTTCGCCACTGAGTGACAAACTTGTATGCATCTAATCTTATTTCTATGATATTGTTAAGCAATGCCAGGAGAGGTGCCAGTGGGAAGGCAGCAACGAAGATGGTGGTAAAGCCAAACTGTAAAACTAGACAAGCATTTGTATGGTTAGAAATTGGAAACACAAAAGATCTTTTAACGTGCAACATAGTTTCAGTTTCTTAAGAAAACTGGCATCTCTCTAAATTAGCTCACCCATTTCTAAGTATTCATCCATTAAACCATGGAGATTCATAGGCTGCAGATTCCAGTCTTTTTCCCACTGAGGCAGAGAAATTTTATGCTCCATTAATTGCCCTCCTCTCTTCATTTTGCGTCGTGACCACCAATTCTGTAATAAGCTTTATTAGATAAACAGAGCATTATTTGCTGTACTTAGTAATTTACAATACTTGTTGGTATTATTTTGAAGTAAGTGGGTCTATTTTGAATAGCACCTGAATGTTTACTTAGGTGTTTTCTGGATATATTCACAATATCATATAAGATACAATTCAAAGAACTTCCAAAAGTTCTCAATTCCGCATTATGATTTGGACTATGTCTTTAATGTAGCATGTTAGGCATTATACAAATAAGCTTTTCAGAACATGGAATTTGCTTGAATGGACTTTTTTTGCAGGATTTACCTGCATGCCTAAATAAAAAAAGAATGGGAAAAAAATAATGCAGAGTGAGAGCATTAGAAAGTTAAATAATGCTTTAATTTTGAGCCTGTAAAAGACAAACCAAATAAGTAGAGCTCAGTAAGAACTCTATGATACTAGAATATATTGAACAGTAGAATATGTTTTCTATTCTTTGAATGAACCTAAAAATCTAGATGCTTTACAAAGTATATTTTCTTGAAGCATAAAAAAGTGTCTAATGAGGTGTTGTTGAAGCTACAAATATTGAAGACTATTTTTTATAAAGGTGTACAGAGATCTTTTCACAAAGTAGTTATAAACATTAAGTAGGTAATAGTCTCACAAATTAAAGTGTTACACAACTGAAAAATACTATCCAGTATTGACACAGGTGGCAATTAAAAGCTGTTATTTGTTTCTAGATATTACTGAAAAGAGACTGAAGATGGGAATTTTTAATTTTTTTTTAAATTTTTATTAAAACATCTGAACTTACGGATAGCCGAGCTCCATGAAGTTGTTCCACATTTGTTTTAAAACCATAATAACTCCCATTTGCAAACACAGATCTATCAAGCAGCCACTAGGATGACACTGAAATGAAATGGAAAAAGATCAGTGGCTAAAATCAGATAATTCCTTTCATTTTTATTTGTTCACAGGGTGAACGGAAAATACTCCAATGTGTTTGGCGAAAAACACTAACCTCCTGCTAGAAATATTAAAAGAATTATTAATAACAGAAATATTAACACAGATTTCAGTTGAACAACTTTTAGACATCATATTTCTTGGAGAACTGGATTGTACTACCTAAGCTAAGGGTATGAGTGCTATACATCTGAGAAATAACATAGTCCATTTCACTTACACCAATACATACGCTTTCATTTCAAAGGAATGGAGCAATATTTCATTTGTAATATCCTAAGTCTGAACAGAGACTTCATAAATGAATCTCTGCTACTGGTATCTTAACTATACAAATTACCATATTAAAATGCTTAGTAATTACAGAAACTTTTTTCAGACCATGGGCTACAAAGTTATGGTATTTTCATCTGTGGATACCGAGGTTCAACAGAAGAAACCTGTTTTTCAGAGAGAACTTCAGTAGGCTAGTGATATCAAGGGAGGTGCAATTCTAACACACTTTCAAGCTAAATTTTGAAAATACTGTTTTTCTTCTTTTAAATTGGTATCCACACTGGCAGCAACTTAAGAAGCTGTCCTCCATTCAAAAATTCCACATACTCAGGAGATACCAACCATGTATGATTTAGTAGTGCCTGTGAGGTAAGGGACTATCACTGTTTGCTTTTCCCAAAGGCAGAAAGAACTGCGTGTCTCATGCAGAGTCACCCAGCGCAGTGGAGAACGCAGAAGGAGAAACACATCTCCTGTTTACTCTTCATTGCACTTCGATGGAATAATAAATCTTTCAAACTGGACATAATTACTGTCCTTCAGCCATTTCCTTTTTACTCACGGAAATTTCACAAGAACACAAATAGGATTGCTTACCTCTTCCAGTCTCCATCTATTAAAAAGCTTGTTGTACTTTCCTGGGCGGCCTGCAAATCTGGAAAATAAGATTTCTGTTTCTTGGTGGACATTCCAAGAACACCCTGTATCAGTAGTTATTTCACAATATCCACTGAGCAAAGTCATTACATATAAACACATTAAATCACATAGGCTTAAATCTGGTATCTGTAGGATATGGTAGTTTCAGAATGCAAACAAGAACTATCACTTTACAAGCTATCCTAAGCTTTTATTATGTCCAGAACAGAAATCCTAGCTTCAGGGGTTTTAGATGTTAAGATATTCAGACTCTCTAATCTACTTCCAAGAAGATAAGCCATTGCAATACATAGGAATTTAGTGCAGCACAGAGATCTGCTTGCCCATGTAAAATGCGCACTGGATTGCACCCTCAGACATACAAGCATAAAATCATTTCCAAACCCAACATAACTAAATGCTTTTTACAGATCTAAGATTCTTTTTAGAACAAACTGAATAAAAATTCTTAATGACTTCAGTGAAAGTTATATATGATAGAGAAAAAAACCTCATGCTTGGTCCTACTAGACACAGGAGACAGCAAGATACAGAGAAGTTTAGAAACTATATGGCAAATGCATCATTGGATGTAACAAGCAGATTTTACCTACAGTCTTTACTAGAGGATCTTTGCTTTCAAACAATCTTGAACTGAAATTATATTATAAAACTTTATAGAAGGTACTCTGAAATACTCTATAGGTTCTGCAGGAATGATAAGTCTGATCAAAAGGAAATTAAAGTGAAGATGAAGCAAAGTTAGACCTGTCCAGTATCTCATGCTCTGAGCTAAAGATACACACAGAAATTGGAGCCAGAATTTCTTCCTCCTACTCTTGTGTAAGACCTGCCAGACAATATTTCCTATTTATAGAAATGGATCCTGGGAAATTAACTAATGGGGAATAAACAAGAAAAAATAAATAAAGCCTATTAGCGCAGGGCTAAATACAAACCCACATTTAGGAAGTGGCTGTATTTTTAAAGGTTCTGAATTCTCATTTAGTAGGAAAGTCATGTACACAGACTCACTTAAAAAGACTTTTTACTGTCTAGTTTCATGAATTAAGATTTCAAGAGTCCAACCCTCACATACCGTTAAAAATATTAATTTATTGTTATTAATTCTCCTCAGAAACTGACTCACATACAAATCTTGCAGTTCAAAACATCACTGTATTTTCTTCAAATCTATAAAATTAGCAAGGATTATGAGTAAGTGCAGTTAGCAAAGATATTTTACCTGCCAAGAAAAAAGGCAATGTAAAAAATGGAGCTGTTCAAGTTGACAAACTGGAAGAGGAACATTTTCAAGGCAAAGCTGTTTTCCCATTCAGATTCAGTTCTAGGGTGCTCTGCAGGAAGACACAATATATATTATATAAACATAAATGAAACCCAGTTATGCCTACTTTGATCACAGATTAATCAACACTAATAAAACAAGTGATGGTTTCATGTCACGGTGCCCCATCAGGTTGCAATTACTTTTTTTTTCTCCTCAAAGTGTTCAGTCTGCAGGTCACAAAACCATTGGTCCAGCTCAGACTGTGTTGGTTCAATGTGGAAACTGGAGATACAAACCTCTCAGCATAGAATAAGTCACAAATCTAGGGGAAGATACCTGTTCTACTTCCGTGAAAAAGTTCTGAATTCAGTGTGAATCTTTAATTTTAAGGCTACAGGTATCTTGATTAAAAAACAAACACAAAACCAACCAACCAAACAAAAACCCCAAATACAACACAACAAAAGAACCCCAAACAAAAAGCAAAAGCACTTGGAATCAGTAGAGTAACTGACAGGAGCTACCAAGGAAAGAAGAGACAACCAACAGCCAGCTGGTTTCTCACCCAAGCATCTTGTCTTCTAAATACTTCTGCAAGACCACTATTTCATCCTCAAGACTTCCCTATCATAATGCTTATGAATGTTAAACAGATTATAATTGGTAGGGCTACAAGTATTCTGTGTGTGTCTACACTGCCTTGGATGTTTTTCCTTATGGTTTGTTCATTATTTATGTCTGAATTGGAACTCAGTGATTGCGATTAAAATTTTTATTTTTTGGTAAAAATTTCAAATTTCTTTGATGGATATATCTAACTTGGAATATAGTATACTGATAAAAGATATATATGTGTTGGAAGTCTAAACTGCCTGGATTTTTCAGTTAAAATTTGTCCTATTTAATTTTTTTGGTCTAAAGGTTACTAAATTAGGATACAAATGTACAGGATACCAGCTTTACATTTGGACACTTGTTCCCAGAAGTCAAGATGTCCTCCACCTCTTTGATGTAAAACACCTTAGGAAGCTAGCTACCTTAGGTAGCTCAAACACCTGATGCTCCCTCATGCTTAATTCAGTAAGTTTTTTTTCTTTAAAAAAAAATAAAATATTTAATATATTTTGGGAAAAATCAGCTTATATACTTAAATGAAATTATTTTCTTTTCCATTCTGTAACAATATAATATATTTTAAAAGTTAAGTAGGAACACAGTGCAATATGAAAAATATCTTAAAATATTTTAATAATTTGAATAAGTTGACTATACATTCTGAATTTTTCTAACCTGTTTAACTGCTTGTTATCTGAAACACTATGAAGTTTTGAGCATATTAATACATGATCCTCAATACTTTAACCAGAAGAGGGAGCTGTTAAATTTCAGCAGTGAGCTTGCTTTTAAACTATGACAAGATCAGCTGCTTATTTTGAATATAGGCTAGAAGAAAGCATGTAGGAAGAAACACTGAAAGATAATATATTCACATAGTAGGAGATCTTAAATGCTGTCTTTGCTTTCTTGTTTTATATAAGCTATCCTGAAGTCTCTAGTCATGACTAGAGGCTTCAGTATAAATTTTTGATGCAACAGAATTAGAGCTACTTTAACATTTATGACTTGATATTTTTACCTTGGACAATGTAATTTTATCTTCATCCATTTTTTTCCTATGAAAATTCAAATTAAAAAATTTATTTTAAAAAACCCAACCAAGCATTTTGGAAGAATGGAAAAAAAAAACCTGTTTTAGCATTCAAACAAAGAGTATGTTTTGAATTTTGTTCCATTATAACATGACAGTTTTTTTCAACTTACACTATAAAATATAAAAAATAAAGTAGAAGTATAAGAATAAATTCATTTCTTTTCTGTTATTTCCTTAGTGAAATAATCTTATAATTTCTTTCTCTTGTATTTCTCACTTGCTTAGGGAAATGCCAGCATCATACTATGTGTAGATGAAGTTTTCAAACCCCTGTTTTATGAAAATACAAAGGTATATGCCACAGCTATCAAGAACCATACCACTAGTAAAGACACACATACCTAAGTCTGTCAGGAGATAGGCAACCTTTTCATATACCTAAAGCAGAAATAAAAGATGGTGTAAGCATAGCAAGTTATTTTCAACAGTTTTCTTGTGCTTGTTTACTTAAATGTACTTTTTATGACTTTGAATTATTATACATAATAACAGAAATAAATACATGACAGTCTGTTTTGAAGAATGCTTTCTTAGTGCAGCGAGTGCACAGTCTCCTCTGCAGAATTAAAAGCCATTGTTTGCTGTGCTATTATTCCTTTTTACCTGTTTGTATCTGCATGGGAATAGAAAAATCATAAATTTATTGCAGTTGAAGGAAGAGAGGTTATATCAATGTACATTGTGCCGCTACAGAAAATTATTAAACCCGTGCTGTTACATGACAGGAAAAGCTTAAACTGAGATCAGGCATCACAGCGATTCTAGGACTGCGCAACACTGATCTTACAGCTGCATTTTAAATAAGAAAGAGAAGTATTCAAAGTTATCAATTAAAAAAACCCCAACAAACCTGAAAGAAAATTCTCAGCCAAGAAAATAACGTAGTTCCATTTAGAGATGTATTGTGAAAGTTAAGGTAAAAAGACAAAAATGCAAATGTAGAAAGCAGTAGCCTGTACCAATGTGACTTGGTGACATAAGCAAAGATGTGCAGTGACAAATTAAGTAGGCAGTAGAGAAAAGCATTGACAAAAATTGTATCAGAAGAGGAAAAGCCCCTGAAATACTAGCTTCAGGCACTGCTATATGAATAAGCAAGAACATGTATCTATCTGATATACAGTAAACTCAGTAACCTTGTAAAAATTACTCCTTTAAATTAATCCCTCCTTGAAAAGAACAGAAGACTTACAACGTTCAGTGACATGATGATCATAAAGTTGATACAGACTCCAGTGCCAGATGTTGCAAACTGCCAATACTTCTTGATGAAATACCACTTGAAAGAAGCAAATTGTTCCATGGCTACCAGACGATATACCACAACTGCAAACACTGCAGTGAGGACCAGTGAAATCTACAGATAAGTGAGATATCAGAACAAAATAAACCATATCTGAAATAATTTCCACTCAATTAATAAATTAACAAGTGTTTTAAAGATTGCTATTTGTTTTGGTGAGAAGATTTTGAGAGTCTTTTTGATTAATAATTCTGATATTATTAAGCATTACCATGAAGAATATTCCTGAGACAGACACCATCAGTCGACTGAGCTTATCAGGGAAAGGCTGAAAAGGTTCAGGTTTTCCTGTGATGGGATTTACTCTTTCCACTTGGGAATATTTAGCTTCAAACTGGGGGCGCAGCTCTTCCTGGAATGACAAGGTAGATTCCATTTGTTGTACTACTTATTTCACTGCAGTATCAAAAATCAGACATATATGTGCTATAAAGTAGGAAATTTATATTGATAAAAAGAAATCTTTCTTATAATGCTCCAAATCAAAGATCCAAATAATTTGCTCTTTTGAAAATCTTTGGAAACAGTGCCAGAGACCAACAAAGAACAGAAACTGTCAGAGCCTTCCCCTCTATATGAGGGTACTGAAAAGGATCATGGGTCATACTACTGACTTAAACACTAGTTCCTCTGCAGAAACTAAGAGCACTGCAAATTAATGCCAATTATGATGGTGCTTTTTGTGATACGAAACCATTTATTAAAAGCCACCAGCTTGTATCTACGCATCTAAGGAAATTTATAAAACAAGTAATTAGATAAAGTCTATATTCACTGCATTTGAATCACCAATGTAGTTAAATTACAGCTGTATTCACTTGTGATTTATGAAGTAATGTAATAAAATAATTTGATTATTGCTGATGCTGATAGCAGAATGTTAAAGGATAAGTTATGCCTCTCAGAAGGATATAAAAATCCAGTTTCTTAGCTTTGCTTTGTCCTAGTCCTGTTTCCAGGCAGGATTAGGAATTTCCAATACAAGAAATCATAGAACTGAAAGGCATCTGTGCTGACACCAGTAGTAGCACCTGTCCTCTGTATAGGCAGTATTGCCACTCAGTTGTTCAAAAGATACTTTTAATAAATGTAGAATTATATTTGGAATTATAATACTAGTTGTAGAAGGCAAAGGATCCTTGTAGAGTCTCAATTATATGTGTTTATTCTGCAACTAGTATTATAAATAAAAATATAATCCAAATGACAAATTCATATTACTGGCATATGATACGTATTGATAATTATATCACACTGATAGTAAGATTTACAGGTTTACTTCTGTTTAGTCTTACCTCTTCATCTTCCCAGTCTATGAGGTCCCAGTCATAGGTTAACACAGCTCTCCGCCTTTTCCAAAACTCTAGAAAGACTGTAGCTGGGGAAATAATCAACTACATTTTAATTATGGAAAAGAAAGAAAAAAGGCCATGCAGATCTCAAGAAAATCAGCAATATATAACACGGTAACTGTTTCTAGCTGTTCTCGAAGTAATACTAGACTGTGAACAAAGGGTGTCCTCAGTTGAACATACACTGATCTTATAAAGCTATTTATTTCATTCTGTCTGACCCCGAAGATTTGGGCTAACTTGTTTACTCTTTAAATCAAGATCTGTATCTAAGTTAGAGTTTTCAGGCTCTGGTATAGCATGAATAATAGACTCTAGTATAATATGAATAATAATAATAAATGATGTCTTATGTTACTTATGTACATGAAGCATTTGATAATGCAATGATAAGAAAATCACTCATCTAGATGAAGCAGGTGAGGCCTGATCGATAACTATATTTGACAACTAAAGCACCTTTTCCAGACTCACTTGAGCTCTTAAAAAATGCTGCAATACTGTCTTTGACACAGTAGAATAGAATTCATGGAAACTTTTCTGTGCTATAAGGCTACTGAGAAAATAGTGTGAAAAGCTGTAAATAGATTTAAAAAAAACCCAAAACAAAACACAAAAAAGCATGTTGGAAAAAATAAATAATTCAAAAAACTTCTAGTCTAAATGACAGTGAAAAAACCATCAGAACTTTGAAATTCAAGTATCTGTCTGGGTCTGCAGAAAGCCTGGATCCTTCCTGGCTTGCCTTTGCTTTATTCCACTGCTAACACCACCCGGCTCTGGTTGCTCTCCCTGCAAGCAAGCCCTGCCAGTTCCAGTTGCTAAGCACTTCATACTGACTCATCTCTTACCCTGATCTCCCAGCTCTGAAAATGCTAAGTCTTGACTATTGTCAATTACTTCTGTAGAAAAATAAGATATAGAACAGATGAGTAATCCAACCATTTGAACATCAAGAGGAGAACATTACAGTTCTAACACTGCTTTGACCTGGCAGAGTTTCTGCTGAATCCTGCTGCTCAAGAGTTCTGGATAATTTACAGTTTAGAGGGTCACACACAAGCCTCCGGTTTCCTACAGAAAACATTCTCTGGTATCTTCTCTGCTTTTTCCAGTGCACATCGCTTCTCATTTTACAGCTCCAATTGCTGTTCAGAATTTTAAATCCCATAATATGTGGTGAACTTCCTTTTTTTGTCCAGCATTTTGGTACAGATCCACTCATCTAGGGATCTGTTATTCAGTTCACTGCAATACAGTCTGCAGTTCTGCCTGTTGTACACTTCCAAAAGTTCCTTTCAATTCTTATTTAAGTTATCTTATGTTTACTGCCCTTACACTGCCAGTACTCATATTGATGAAGAACTAAAATCTCTAGGCATGTGCTTCACACAGTTTTTAACCTTTCAGAAGACAAGTAAGGTGATTTTTTATGGTTAAGACAGACAGGAAATATTGGTTGTGTGTTGTTACGATCTTAAGTATAACAAAACTTAGCATTGTCAAGAAAAAGAAATGAATGGCAACTGTTAAATGCTATGGAAGGAAAAAAGAGAACAGAGATGAAAGAAACCTAAACAAAACCAAGAACCCAGAGAACCCAACTATTATGTGAGCAGATCTCTTCTGAATGTTTTATAAGAGTCACCGTGTCAAAATGAATGGTGGGTTTATCTCCCTAAAAAAATTACTACAAAGAGGATTTTCAGTAAGGAACTAGGAGACTCTGCTCTGAAGAGTTTGGCCATGGCCAGACAGGCCTTTTCTGAATATGCTGCTCAATTACTTCTCCAGTTTTATTCAGTCAGACTGCTTTACAGCACAGCTATGCAATAAAAACAGTCTCACAGATTTGGTACCACACCTTCTACTGAGACACACTCTTCAGAATAGAAACTGCGACTTAATAAATACAGGCTACAGCTGAATGACAGCTTAGTCCCATCTCCCACTCCTGGAAAACTCTGAACCACCTTATCTCCATATGGCCACAGCCCTGAACCTGTTCTCACTTGG